GGACAGACAGGATATAGCTCTCTTTCGGGAAGCTGGGACAGCAGAAGGCTGAGGGGGGAGACACTGCAGCCACCGCCAGGACAAGCAGCATGTAAAGACTCTTGTAAGCCACCAGCCATGTGGCAAGGTATAGATTTATAAAAATGGGTTAATTTAAGATAAAAGAACAGTTAGCAAGAAGCCTGCCACGGCCATACAGTTTATAAATAATATAAGTGTCTGAGTGATTATTTTATACGTGGATTGTGGGACTGCGGGGCTTGGTGGAGCCTAGAGAGAAGCCCTCCAGCTACAGACATTGACATTCTTAGGTATTATTTTCAACTCTTCTTGTTTCTCATTGTTATAATTATTTTGTCTGTGAATTTAGAGATTTGTCATCATCATTAATTTGCTTTTGTAAATTTTCATAGGTGAACATATGATCAATATAAATGTGAATATGTGCAATCACACATCATATCAGAAAAGTTCATTTTATTATTTTCTTTAATTTTTATATTTTTAAACATTTATCAAATATGCACATATACAATTTTTTCATTAATTTAGATTATTTTAACATAAAATGCATCCTGATTATAATTCCCCTACCCTTAACTTTTATCAGGTCCTTTCTACCTCATCTCCCTTTTGCACCCACAACATTTTGATCTCTTCCTAGAAAAGTAGAGGCTTTTAAGAGATAATCGAGCATAACAAAATAAAGCATAGTAAGATGGAGCAAGAAATATCATTTCAGTTTTTGACATGACAAACCAATTGGAGAGAAAGTGTCCCAAGTGCAGGAACTTGGGTTTTAGGTGGTATAAGCCTTTCTTCCAATAATTTTAATGTAATTAATGATATGTCCATATTTGAAAATTATACATTTACCTTCTACTTGTTCCTTCCAAACCCACTATTGCTCATCTCCACACATATCGTTGACTAAATATATCTTCTCATCTTGACTCAGCCCACAAGACATTGAGTAATAAAGAAATTTCATAAGGATCTTCTGAAAGGCATCTATGGAATCACACTACAGTCTGGGGTACTATTTTTCTTGATCCCGAGAATGTTGAGAAAATTAACCAACTTCAACAGAAATAAGTACTGTTTTTATGCAATTTCTGGCATGAGCCCTCCAAAAATTCTTCAAAGAACTCTTTTGAAACCTCTTTGAGTACCTCACTACAAATGTTTTGTAGCTTTTGTATTTTGGTCATTAGTATTCAATACAAGCATTCGTGCTACAGTGTTTTGTAAATGAGGGCTGACAGAGGCCACATTTTTCGGGATTCTCATGAAGCTGATGGATACAACACATTATAAAAAAGGGTTTATTAGATGGATCAGTCAACCTGTGTTTGGTCAGTTTGAAGTACTCTGCCAGGAGGAAGTTTTGGTCTTTTGAAGACACCATAAGTGCCATCAAAAACAATACAATGGTGAGCGGCCATTTCAAAATCATGTACCTTTTCCATTTGCGTAAGATATGTGTATGCTCCCCTTTCAGGCTCTCCTTGCCCTTCTGATGACTGAGGAGCCTATTTTTCCTCATTTGACATGACACCATTTGGATGAGGAGTGTTAGTTTAGCAGGCTTGTGTGATCATCTCTTTTTTTCATTTTTTTTTGTATTTCTTTTACAATACTATTCAGTTCTACATAATAGCCACAGATTCCATTGTTCTCTCCCTTCCTGCCCCCCTACCCTTCCCCCAAGCACATCCCCTTTTTCCATGTCTTCCAGATCAAGGTCTCCCCCGAGGACTGGGATCGACCTGATAGACTCAGTCTAGGTAGGTCCAGTCCCCTCCTCCCAGATTGAGCCAAGTGTCCCTGCATAAGTCCCAGGATTCAAACAGCTAACTCATGCAATGAGCCCAGGACCTGGTACCACTGCCTAGATGCCTCCCAAACACATCAAGGCAATCGACTGTCTCACCCATTCAGAGGGCCTGATCCAGTTGGGGGCCCCTCAGCCTTTTTCATAGTTCATGTATCTCCATTCGTTTGACTATTTGTCCCTGTGCTTCATCCAACTTTGGTTTCAACAATTCTCGCTCATATAATCCGTCCTCTTTCTCACCAATTAGACTCCCAGCACTCCACCAGGGGCCTAGCCATGGATGTCTGCATTAAGATTCCTCAGTCCTTGGATGGGGTTTATGGCACAACTATTAGGGTGTTTGGCCATCCCATCACCAGAGTAGGTCAGTCCCAGCTATCTCTCCACCATTGCCAGCAGTCTTTTGTGGGGTTATCTTTGTGGATTTCTGTGGGCCTCTTTAGCTCTTTGTTTCTTCCTTTTCTCATGTGGTCTTTATTTACCAATGTCTCCAATTCCTTGTTCTCTCTCTCTGTTCTTGATCCAGCTGGGATCTCCCGCTCTCTTTCCCTCGACCCTCGCTCTTCATTGCTCCCACTCATGTCCAGGCTGTTCATGTAGATCTCTTCCATTCCTCCATGTCTTTCTTGGGGTCTCATTTTCCAGGTAGCCTCACTGGTGATGTGAGTAGCAGTCCAGTCATCCTTGTTTTGTGTGGTCATCTCTTATTGGCTGGGCACGATCAAGACCTCTGACATGGACTGGTGCTATGTCCTTCGGCAGACTCTGAAGGATCAGGAACTCTTGACATCGACCAGGAACTCTGACAATGACTCTTGCTAGGTCCTCAGGCTAACTCTGACATGGACTAGGAACTCTGCCAGCTCCTGTTGCTAGGTCATCAGACAGACTCTGAACACTCTGGAACTCTGACATTAGGAACCCTGATGGCAACTGTTGGTGAGTCCTAAGGCAGACTCAAGTTTGTGTCTAAAGGTGTAAGGTATTTGCATTCCTTGGCTACTGGTCTGAGCCAATTTCCTCAAACCTGTGGGGCTGTCCTACTACATATTCACCCTTTATTTTATTACCAAGATATAATAAGGGACCCTGGTCAGCTCAGCTTCTATATTATCCATGACAACTAACACACACAATTTTCCAAATTAATCAGACATGGGCAGAAGTTGTGGCCTTTGACTATTTTTTAAACTCTTGGCATGATATAGAAAGGCTGTTGGAATCCTCCTGGATTCTCACTTGTGTTCTGATTGGTGGGTGGCACTTCTAATCTCTCTCCTTTTTAAATGGCTTCCACCACACATCCCACAAGAACAGGCACCACCGAGGTGATAACAGAGGTCAATGGCTCTTAGACTTCCATCTCATGGCCCACTACCACCATGTCCATGCCTGGCTTTTTGAAATCCAAAAGATCTGACCCTCCCAACCCAGGTAACTCCCCACGGATGGATGCTCTTTAAGGGCTGGTAGTGACAGACAGGTAAGACTTTGCTTGGCAAGGCTACCTAAGACAGGCATAGTCCAGTTACTGGAACCCTGAGGCAGGGTCAACAGGATGAGAGCAAAGACTCTGACTCCCATTGATTGGGCACATAATAAAATAAAGGGTGGATATGTGATAGGACAGGCCTGTGGGGTTGAGGAAATTGGCTCAGACCAGTTACCAAGGCATGCACATGCCGTACTCCTTATGAGCCAACCTGGAGACTGCTGAGGGCCTAGCAACAGGCTCTGTCAGAGTTCCTAATGGTACCCAGTCAATTAGGGATGACTTCACAAGGCCACCTGATTGTGACAGAGCCTGGATGCTGGGAGGAGAGTTAATTTTTTTTTTTTTTTTTTTTTTT